CAAGTTCATAAAGCTGTTACATGAGAGCCATTGGGTCAGAATTTCTTTCAAATTGATACCTTTGCATTTTTCCAAGCCTGAAGGAAACTTTGTGTCATTCACTTTCTGCTCAATACATCAAAATGTATTTCTGGTAAAATATGCATGACTTTAAATTCAAAATACTGCTTTGAAAAACAGTGCCTAGGAAGTAATCTGTAAAATATTAAGTGTAAATAAACAGAGAGACCAAGGGAGGAAGATTGTGTTCGGAGGTTCATGCCAGTTTAGGCTGCTTAACAAGGCTCACCCGAAAAGACAGAGAAACTGTGTGATTTTACCATTTCCTACACAGTAAGTATCACTGAGCTTCAACAAACTAGAAACTGGAATATTGGAAGTTGCAGTATACTCCCTTAGTATGTAAGGTAAAGTAAACTTAAAGTAAGGTAAGGTATACTTTACATAGAAAGTATGTATACCTGCCTGCATAGAAGTTGCATGAGAGGCCAACTCTGGTTGTTAAAGAGAATCTGTAGATTGCCATACTTTGCATGTGACAACATAACTCCTGTGTTGGGATTTCTGCTTAGTTTTTCAGTTTTTAAAAATTATATCCCTCTCCAGATGCTTCTGTCCTCTGCAGAGTATATGGAGAGACATTGACCAATGTTGGAAGTGATGTGAGATTTTCTTAGAAATCTTACATTGAAGTTATAGGACTCTTATGAATTAGAAAGAAAGCAACAATGTCCTTTTAAGAGTCATATTGATCCCAGAGAATGTCTGAAAGGGTAAGACCAGAATAATAGGATGTTAACCATTACTCAATGTCCAAGGTTCTGAATGGCATAAGAACTGTGTTCTACATGGGGTGATCTGAAATTTGGGGAGTATCTTTCTGTGACTAACTTGTTTCGTTATTCCACTCATTTATAACATCAAAACATTGGAACTTTTTAGTAGAATCATAGTATGTAGATGTCAACTGTCTAAATGGGGAAAGAGATGAGGCAAGACTGATTAATTAGAAGTAAATTTAAGTTAGAAAGGAAAAAGAAACTCTGGTGTGCTCTTACATGATAGGATGATTATAGTAACAAAGAGTAACTGCTATTTGAAAAAGTTATAAGAAATTATTTTAAAATATTAAACCATGAATGAACATGCTTGATCATATTTAAACTTTAGATTTATGTAAGCGTACTATGTAAATGGAGACTGCACTTTTGTTTCCTGACTGTCCAGACCCAAATAATCACACAAAACTATATTAATTACAACACTGCTTAGTCAACAGCAGTTGATCTAGGTGTTTATTACATTCCTAGGTAGCTCTTACATCTTAAATTAACGCATTTCTATGTTTTTATATTTTACCACAAGGTTTGTGGTTCACTGGAAAGGTTCTGGCATCTTTATTCTTTAACAGCTAAATGGCATCTGTCTGACTCCACCATCCTTCTCCATGCATTAAGTTTAGTTTTTTTGGTCTAGCTATATTCTGCCTGCCATAGGCCATAGCAGCTTCTTTATTAACCAATGATAATAAAACATAATCAAAGCATACAGAGGGGAATCCTTCATCATCTCCCCTCTTCTGCCTAAATAAAAAGAAATGTTTTAGCATTAACATAATAAAAATACATATAACAAAACAGGTATCAAACAAGAATTACTGTTGCAGTATTTATTTGAGTCTAAAATTTCATACTCATTTTATATTTTATTATAACTAAGGAAAATTATAACTGTTACTATTTAGTATTCAACTCCATTAAGAATCCCAGAAGGACATAATATTACCTAAATAAACAGGAAGTGCATGGTAAGCAACTTCCAAAACTCTAGAATTGGCAGAGAGATCTTGCTGCCTGGACAGTCACCCAAAATTCTTCTGTATCATTGGGGCATCTATCTTCAGCCTACATGCCCATAGCATCTGACATGCTTTTCCATGAAACATGAAATTTGAAAGACGGTTTCATTTATATTGATAGTTTGCCAGCACTTTCTTTTCTGTCCTGGAGAATGTCTGGTAGTTTCTTATGTGAAGCAGGAAACCGGAAGGGCCATTCTATCTTTTGGCAAATTTGGCAGTCAGTTTTCTGTGGGTCCTGCATACCCAGTTCATAGTGCACACCATAAAGCAGTGAAGGCAAAAGCAACTTCTGCTAAATGGCTAGCAAACTCTGTAAGGAACCTCTTTGATTTCCATCATCCACTTGAAGTTAATTAGTGCTGCCAGAAGCAGACATATCTCATTGTCAAGAAAAGTCTTAGTTATTAAAATATTTTAGATGTCATATTCTGTAGATCTTTGAAGTGTTGAAGATTATCTAACTGAACCATGTTTCTTTATATCCAGAAAACCTAACATAATTAAAATTTTGATTATTTTAGATGACACTTTCAATCTGTATTTTTAAGTATACATTACATTTTTAAGGGAGCTACACAAACACAATACCTTAAAGAAGAGCAAAAATACATATACACAAAGTAACAAAATTGACCTTGAATTTGTATCAATAGACCAAGATCTATACCAATAAAAAATATTCATTTCCATATCATATCTCGTTTATTTTTTTTACCTATTTTTTGTAGAAATTGGCTGTGACCATTAACCATTTATAATCAACCCTTTTAAAATAAACACTTATGAACAATCATTTTGGGAATTTGCTGAGTAAAGTATTTTTAGAGTTCACAGAGACCTTTTGGTGGTCTTGTTCCATTAAACCCCATTAGCCTGGAAGGAATACATAGGTTCTCAATTTCTGTGGAAACAAAAACAGACTCAAATTTAGAAGTCAAGATACCTTTGAAATATATATGTTTGTTTAGCTTTGCAACTCTCCGAAACAAATATTTCTCTGCAGTCAAGAAATTCAAAGATAACACAATAATATACAGAATCCAAACTGCATTTTCTATCTTTATGTGGCTTAATATGCATATATTTTATTACTGTATTTCTTTTTAAGAATTTTTAAATCATTATTTTAATATATGACTGTTTCTATTCTTTCTTTTCTCTTTTATAAGCCTAATCACATTTATCATACACACTATGACCCATTCAGAGGTCTTTTATATCTGAACCTGTCTTATTGTGCATCTGAAATTCTTTTCTTATAAGGAGTGCTTTTAAAATGGTAAGCAGTGTAATCACTGTGGTCCTGGATGCTGGCTCTGCCTCTCTCAAACTTTTAACATGGTGCAGATGCATTCACCACCTCTGTGAGCCATGCTTACTGCCCCAGCCCCAAGGATGCAGAGGGTCTATGTCACAATTAAGTAACTTGCATCATTATGCCCATAAACTACATTTAAGTGCTCCATAACAGTATGTCCCAAAAGAGCCATAGCCATTTGTGCCACCAGTATGAAACAGGAAGTAATCTCATAAAGGATCTTTATCTCTGTTTGTGGCCAGTAAACAGAGCCTATCTGAAAAAACGCGACTACCAAGAAGCACCCATTGACTCCCATTTTTGTGGGTCTAGAAGCTCTTTTTTATAACTTTCTTAGGCTTAATGATGTACATTGTCAAATGTTGGGTGCCATTATTTAAATAGAGACTGCACTTTTTCATTTCCTGGCTGCTCAGACCCAAATATGCACACAAACTATATTAATTACAACACTGCTTGGTCCACAGCTCAGGTGTATTCCTAGCTAGTGCTTACATCTTAAATTAGTCCATTTCTATTATTTCATGTTTTACCACAAGGCTTGTGGTTTACTGGTAAGGTTCTGGCACATTTTTCCTTTGGCAGCTACATGGCATCTTCCTGGCTTCCTTCTTTCTCCCTTCATTCAGTTTAGCTTTGCTGGCTACCTATATTCTGTCCTGTCATAGGCCATATAAGCTTCTTTATTAACCAATGGTAATAAAACATATTCACAGCATATAAAGAGGAAATCCCACATCAGTCCTAACTGCTTTTGTATTACTGTGATAAAACAGCATAACCAAAAGCAGTGCAAGAGATTTTCTTTTGACATGGAGAGACACATGACAGCAAGTATCAGACATGGTGGCAGAAGCAGGAAGCCCAGAGATATATCCATCAACATGTAGGAAACAGAGAAGGCAAACTGAAATTAGAGGTAAAATGAAAACTCCCAAAACCTGCCTCTAGTGATAAACTTCCTGTAGAAAACCTGCACCTCTGTATAACCTACCCAAACAGTGCCACCAATGTGCCGTTCTCTGACTTCTTTCTTTTGTGGGAGTATCAGTAAATAAAAATATTGGCCTGATAGGGAGCCTGCATGGGACTGACCTAAGCCTTCTAAATACATATGACAGGTGTGTAGCTTGATCTTCTTGTGGGACTCCTAACAAGAGGATTAGGACTGTCCCTAATGCTTTGGCTGTCTCTTCAGACCTATTCATCATACTGAATTGCCTTGTCCAGCCTAAATACAAGGGAGGTGCTTAGTCTTACTCCAACTTGCTATGCCATGCTTTGTTGATATGCATGGGAGGTCTGCCCCTTTCTGAACAGAAACAGAGGAGGAATGGATTGGGTGGGAGGGTATAGGAGAAGTGGGGGATGGTGGAAGGTCAGAGGGAAAGTATAGGGAGGGAATGGTAGGAGAGAAGGAAGGGGAACCTGCTGTCAGAAAGTAAAACAAATTAAATGAAAATAATTGAGTTTTTGAGACTTAGGACTAAAAAATAAACAAAATATAAAACAAAACAAAACAGGTGTTTTCTACCTTAATGGGAATAAACACAGAATGACAATATTCTGAAGATTTAAGTGCAGAATTTAATCTTATGTTCACTGAGACATCTCGGGCAAGGCTGCCAGATTGAATTCTGAAGGAGGGGATATAAGAAAGTGAAGGATGTGACCAGAGAGAGAGAAAAACATTTAGGAAACAAAGAAATGATTCAATCCTGGTGTGGGAAGGCCTTCTGTCTATGTGTTGCTTTTATTGGTTAATGAATAAAGTACTTGTCCTCTTACCTATGCTAGTAACCACTCCCTTTTTCATTGCAGTCATTATGCCTTGTGGGCAAAAGAATAAGCATCGCAAACACATGAAGAATAAGAATCGCAGTCCTAAGAAATGCCATAATAAAAGAGATGATTATCAGGATCACAAGGGAGCAGAGGATAGTGAAAGAGTGGAAGAAAAACCTCCCTGCTCTTCCTTTTCTGTGCTTGTGAAGATTTCTGAGAAATTATGTGCTTCTGAACCAAGTAGTGATACTGAGTGGCCTTCCTGTGTACCTGCCTGTGTACCCGTCGCAATTTGCAGTCATGAAAATGAATACTGCCATGGTGCAAGAAACTTGCTTTACTCAGAATGTCGACTCTGCCATGATAATCCATGCAGAAGTTGTGTAGATATGAATGTGGTTTTCGTAGAGCAGTGCGTACTCTACAAATTTAAAATGAAACAACTCATTACTAGGGAAGATTTGCTAAATGTTATTGACCCACATTACCGGTACAGATTTGATGAGATATTTAAAAGAGCTTTTGAGAACATTGAAACTGTGTTTGCAGTCAATGTGATGGAAATTGACTCAACCAATCACTTATATGACCTAGTCAGCAAGATAAAACTTCCCAACAAAGGAAGGGTTTGTCCTGGCAGGGGCTTACCAAAAACTGGTCTTCTTATGACTCTCCTGGCTATGATTTTCATGAAGGGTAACTCTCTTGCTGAGAAAGAGGTCTGGAAATTCCTGAATATGATGCAAGTGTACGCAGGGAGGAAGCATTTCATCTATAGAGATCCATGGAAGCTCATCAATCAAGATTTGGTGAAACTCAAGTACCTGGAGTACCGGCTGATACCCAATAGTGATCCTCCATGTTATGAGTTCCTTTGGGGTCCTAAAGCTTATACAGAAACTACTAAGATGAAAGTCCTAGAATTCATGGCTAAAGGCAGTGGCATTGAGCCTAATATATTCTTAGTGCAATATGCAGAAGCTTTGAAAGAAGAAAATCAGAAGGTTCAGGAAAAAATTAGTCCTGGCTCCAGTTGAAATCATCACCATAGCTGGAGGGTATTTACACCTCAGTAAATTATGATGATTTATCTTCAGACCAAAAAACATACCACAATTGACATTTTCTTTGAAACAAGAAAGAGAAAAACAAAGAGCACATGAATAAAATATGAAATAATAAAGAATAGGCAATGAGGACTTTTGCCTATGTGTTTTAGTTTTTTGTTACATAAAAGTAAATGTTTTATATACTGATATATTTAAGCTATTAAATATGAAAGAGACATTAAGTCTTAAGAAATTAAACTTTTTAAACAGTATATTTAAATCAATCGACTCTCTATCTGATATTTGGAACAATGAGAAGTGAATCTAGTTTCTGACCATAGAATTTTAGAATCCAGAAATTACACTCTTTGGAGAAAAATGTTTAGATATCTGTTTATAAATTGTAAGGGAGTTGGAAGAAATAGTGAGAAGAAAGTTTAATTTCTTAAGGCAAGGCAGTTTAAATTTTGGAAAATTTTAAGGCAATAAAACATTATGTAATTCAAAATTATGCTACATGGTAGGTTATGTGAAGTTGTGGGACTAGTTAACTGAGGTCAGAACTTTGGACTATGTATCTCAATGTTTAGAGAGAAGATCCTTAAATGGAAAACTGAACTGTAAGAGAAGGCCTATAATCAAGGTCTGATAATATGCACTACCTTGGTCTTGAGGAAAGAAGCAGAACATCAAATGGTATAACTGTAGAAAAAAATCCATTTACAGAATAAACCATTTCTTCAGGAAACCAGGGGCATCTTCTCTGTTCATAAGAATTTACTTACTTTACTATCAAACTAGATAAAATACAGCTCCCTATATTGAAAAGGCATTCTAACTAAAACTTATTGCATGTAGTTTGGAAAAATTCAAATGATTGGCGATATGTTTATAAGAAATATAAGAATGAGCATACATATGTGAGGGCTCACAGATGTGAGCTTATTCTAGTTTGACTAAAGGTCAGTGAGTTTGAACTTATTTTTGCTATTTCAAAGTTGTGACAACAGGTGTGGCTATAAACAAGAAACTTTGACCTAGGGTGTGGTTGCTTGGTGCTTTGGACATTAAAATTACCCACAGAGGTGGATCTGCTCCACCCTGACTGCAGGTCAAAGAATCCAAGCCTATTTCTGATTGGTTTGACATAGGAAGTGACTGCCTACAGGATACTTGGTCTTGGATATATTTGCTGCATATCCTACCCAAAACATCAAATGCTATACTCATGGAATAGTGACTTGATATCTCAAGTATTGAAGTAAGTAACTGTTCTGGTTGTCATTTGTGCCATGTTACTAAAACAGTCTTTTGACTTCTTCCCCCCTTTTGTATTGGGATATAAAAGTATATGAAAATTAAATGTAGACAGATTCAGTATTCAGGATTCACTGTGAAGCCCGCCTGGTAATATCCTATGTCTCTGTGTTTCTTTCATATCTTTGTTCCTCCTAACTAACATTTCTAATTCACACGCCCCTATCTTAGAATATACAAACTTGTCAAGTTTGAACCACGACAGAAGTCACCCCAAAATGTGTCTTACACCATACATTTAGTTTTAGTAGATAGATAAGGGGATACACTAAAAGATTTTATCTCACAATGAATTATTGAAGCTGTAGGTTGTGTAAGATAATCTGCAACATCCAAATTATGTACCAGAGAAATTTTTTAGAAGGATGTAATTTTGTTTGATAAAGTACATTTTAGACCCTGTTAGTACTATCTAAGAGTCTTTAGTTTTGTTATAACTATCCTCATTGAAAAAAATTCCATACAATAGTGTTATTTTAACTAAATACAATAATTATTTTTACCATTTATTAAGTACAAAATGTTTATCAGTAATCATGGCAGACATACACAGAAATATGATGATCCTATAAAACACTGTTATTTAGTGAGGACTCTGTAATGTCTTTTATTTCTTGATTTTCTGGTGACCAGGAACTCCAGGATCATATGCTAGAGTACTTTGTACCTTATGAGGTTCCCTCTTGCATGCTGCTTCTATTTTGGTGTATCCCCACATTGTGTAGAGATTGAGTTAAAAGAGTTTTCAGCCTGTTAATTGGATAGTAATTCTAATATAGATGCATCACCCACATGACTAAATTTAAGCATAATTGTTGCACAAATAATAATTGGTCTTCTTAATAAAAACCCAGAATCAGATATTAATAAGTAAAAGCTGAAAGATAAGAGAAACAGAGCAGTCAGTCACTTAATTCTTATACCTATGAAATCCTTAGATTGAATGCGATGTCTTGTCTCTACAAGTCCTCACACTGAATGCCTGAATGAGAGCTCCTGTCACTATGAATCCTCTGACTAAATGTCATGAGCGCCTGTCTCCTCCTACATTATGTTCCTCTCTCTGCTGAACCATATCCCTTCCTGTCTCCAACTTCCTAGTGTTGGGATTAAAATTGTGTGACTCCCAAATACTGGGATTAAAGATGTGAGCCACAACCACCTATCTATGTTTCTTTTTGAGACTGGACCAATTGAGGGTAGCCCAGGGTGGCCTTAAACTCACAGAGATCCATCTGCATTTGTCTCCTGAGTGCTGGGATTAAAGGTATGTTCCACTACTACCTGACCTCTATGGCTAACTAGTGGCTTACTGTGCATTCTCATTTTCAGGCAAGCTTTATTTGTTATAGCACAAACAATATAACACCACACATAACACACTTCTAAAGGTCTTCCCTAATACTATTTCATTAAAAGTTATTTTTAACCACATGAGCTGGTTATGGTTGTATAGACTTCTAATCAAGTTACTTAGGAGAATGATACAAGATTATTATAAACTTAATACCTGTTTGACCTACTTATCAGGTTCAAGATCAGTCTGAGTAATTTAGCAAGATTGGCTATAAACATTGAAAATTTTAACACAAAAAGTCTAGGGAAGTTACTGGCAATACACTTGTCTAGTATATACACAAGTCCTAGGTTGAATTCTTGCCACCAAAATGGAAGAAATCAATTCCCACATATGAATTTTATAGAAAAATAAGAGCTAACTCACATCAAAGCTCACTGATTTCAATAGGATGAACAATGACCAACAAAATTCTCATATTCTTATGATAGTAAATGATGAAACTAGGGTATATTGATTATATTGATTCATCTATAACCCATACTATTCAGTTATTTCCACAATGAAGTTGATCTTTTGAATCTGTATTCAATTTTATCCTTATTCCAAAATGTATTCAAATGATCAAAATAAATATTTCCAATGTTGGCTATATCCATAGCGACAATGATAAGGACATCAAATATATGAGAGGTTCATACCTCAAAGAATATAATTCAAAGAAATAAAGACTATTTGGTAGCAACACAAATATTGGAGATTAGTCACAGATTAGAAGCTCACAAAATCATATAATTTAGCCTCTTTCTTGTAGTAATCAAATCTTTAAGAACAAAAACAACTTAAGTGATTGAGTCTGTGTGATCAAGAGAAATAGATATGTATATGTTTTATCTGATATCATCTTTTATTACATACTTTTAGTATGTTTTTTTGTCAGATTTCCCATGTCCAGTCTTTTTAAAAATGCAGATTTTTTTTTCAGTTTTTGAAACAGGAATAGTTTTGAAGATTTTTCAGAAGAATAGTTTTTCTAGGACTTTTCATTAGAGAGAAAGGAGCCATATTGATAACCCGGATAGTTACCAGTTAAGAATACCTAGTCGTTTTAAGGATCAATGCAGAGACTTCAGTTCTATTTTACTTAGACCTAGAATTCCCAGTTCTCTACCCAGCTGACTTCTGCAAAAAGAATCTAAGAATCTACTCCTTAAGGTACAGTATCATAAAGAGTACCATAAAATTCAAACAAATATCAAATGTAAAGTTGTCTATGAAATGAAGATGTTGTATATCCAAGAAAAGAGATGATACCAGAGATGTAGAACTTGCAATCAACATCTTTCCAGGATTTTAGTTCGGTTATAACAGTTGGTCTTTCTAGGGTGCTCCAGGAACATTGAAGACCTGAGGAGTCTTTCTAACACTCCTAACTAAGCAAAAATCAAGAGACAATTCCTTGCTTCTTTCAGAGTCAAGTTGAGGAGCTGAAATGAGGTTGAAATGCTTACTTTAGAGCAGAGTCCCATCCAACAGCCTCACCATGATTTTCAGTCTGTTCTCAACTATGAAGATGTTACTGTCACATATAAAAGCCATATGTCTGTATTCAGTCTCATCTCACCTCAGAATAAAGCCCTACCACAAGTCGAGCGTTTATTATTTAGTGTTGGCCCACCTTAGAGTCTATCCTCTTTGCCCCATGCAATATCATTATTCTAAGAGTTGGCCCACTAAAGAAGAATGCATTCTACCATCAAGCCTTACCCTTGTTTATAGTTTTAGGCAACCTTAGTGTACAGGGCCATTCTTATGTCACACTCTTCTCAATTTCTATCTTTCTCAGAGGACAGCAGTTGCCAAATCTCATCCTGGTTGTTAGTCTGACAAATTTCAGAGGAGAGTTCTATGGTTCCTGATTCTTTCAGTTAGGCCATTGTTTTCATTCCTGACACAGCTCACAGATAACCACCCTTATCCACAATACAAAACTATATCATTGTAATTAATCAATTTTGATTACTTGCAGAGAACAACCACATTCAAGAAGTCATGCCCTGAATTTTAGGCTTTGATCAATTCAGAAGAGAACCTTTCACATGAAACCATATTCCTAGTCTGGATTGTGGACTGTCTTTGTAGAAATCCCCCCTACACACACACACACACACACACACACACACACACACACACACACACAC